AAACTGAATAGCAAAATATCTGGTTTTGAATTTGGAGTAACAGCAGATGTTCAGATGTTTTGGCGGATATGGTCAGATTTTCAAATGTTTTTGCGAATATGGTTTGGTAGAATCCCAGATTCCTATAACTAATTATAGGAAAATCATAGTCAAAGATTATGCTTTATAAGTTGAATGTGTCAACAAATGTATATACGGAATCTCAGGCGAAATTCAAAATCATATTTACTAATATGTTCTGATAACAAGTTTCCAGATTCACTTTGCATCCATTTTTGAACAATTTTTTTTTTTAAATACTCTCCATGTACATTTGATTGCTCTGTTCCATCACCTCTTAGGAGGAAACAAAAAAAGAAAAAAGAAAAAAAAATACAGAAGATCAAGAGATGGCCGACGAAAAAAGCAGTCGGCAAAAGGAGGTGGACGATTGGCTGCCGATGACAGCTTCCCGGAAGGCCAAGTGGTGGTCCTCCACCATCCACAATGTCACCGCCATGGTTGGTGCCGGCGTACTCAGCCTCCCGTACGCCATGTCCAACATGGGATGGTACAATTTTTTATTTTTTTTATTTTTAATTGCATTTGTGTTCATTTTGTGATTTGAAAAAAAAATGAAATTGAAATAAGAAAAAAAAATGATCCCCCAATTTCAAATCTTTTAGCAAGAATTGTTGCTATAATTTCTGTATAGAGTATAGTGTCATCGACGTATATGTAGTCAAACTATTGGTTTAGTTTTCTGGATTTCGATGCTGTTCGATTTGGTTTTATTAATGTTGAAAAGTTTTATGTTCAGAGTCAGTTTGGTTTAGTTTAATGTTTTCTTTTTTTACATCACAAGATTGNTTTAGGTATGTTCGATTTTCTCCTTTTTTTTTGCACTGAACCGCGTAGTTCGCCTGATACATTTATGATTTTTCTTCTATAAATTAGTGTTTAAAAATTAAAATCTCTAAGAAAATTTAGAGATTTGTAACGACAAACTGTACCATTGCAACATTGAGACTCGAGAGTGCTTAATCTTTTTCAATAAAATCGAGAGTGTTGACACAATTTCAAATCTTGAGCAAGAATTTTTGCCATAATTTCTATTGAGACTCGAGAGTGCTTAGTCTTTTCCAATAAAATCGAGAGTGTTGACACAATTTCAAATCTTTAACAAGAATTGTTGCCATAATTTCTATCTACAGTGTTATCGACATTTCGGTGTTGTTTGGTTCGATTTTCTTTTTTAGTGTTGAAAAGTTTCGTATTCGGTTCTATTTGGTTCAATGATTTTTCTCCTTTAGGGGTCCCGGGATAACCCTCATGCTCTTATCATGGATCATCACTCTCTACACCCTATGGCAAATGGTCGAAATGCATGAGATGGTCCCCGGCAAGAGGTTCGACCGTTATCATGAGCTCGGTCAGCATGCTTTTGGCGAAAAACTCGGCCTCTACATAGTCGTTCCTCAACAAGTCGTCGTCAACGTAAGCACGTGCATCATTTACATGGTCACCGGCGGCAAATCCCTCAAGAAATTCGTCGAGACCGGCTGGCCCGGCCACCGCGAATTGAGCCTCACTCTCTACATTTTCATCTTCTCCTCCGTTCACTATTTCCTTTCCCATCTCCCGAACCTCAGCTCCATTGCCCTCGTCTCTCTAGCCGCCGCCACCATGTCCCTCACGTGCGTATAATCATTATTTTATATTTTTTTATTCTTTTTTTTTTTTCTGATTTTTCGATTATTTGTTTGTGATTTTAGGTATTCAACCGTGGCTTGGGTGGCTTCGCTAGCGAAAGGGACCCAGCCCGATGTAAGCTATGGGCTTAGGGGTTCAAGCCCACCGGCTAATGTGATGAACTTCTTCAATGCAATGGGGGATATAGCATTTGCGTACGCGGGCCACAATGTGGTCCTTGAGATCCAATCACAAATACCTTCGACCTACGAAAGCCCGTCTAAGAAGCCCATGTGGAAAGGGGTTATGTTGGCCTACTTAGTCGTGGCTATATGCTACTTGCCCGTGGCATTTGTCGGGTATTATGTGTTCGGGAATTCTGTGGATGATAATATCTTGCAGACGCTCGAGAAGCCCGCGTGGCTGATTGCTGCCGCGAATTTGTTCGTGTTCGTGCATGTCATCGGGAGCTATCAGGTTTTTTTTTCCTTTTTTTATTTTATTTTATGTTATTTTATTTTATTTTTTCGCGGTCTAATTTTAATTATTGTCGTTTTATATAATGCTTGACGATTTGGATTCGTGCGTAGGTATATGCCATGCCAGTGTTTGATATGCTCGAGACGTTCTTGGTGAAGCAGATGAAGTTTAACCCTTCGGGAAAGCTTCGGTTCACGACGCGTACCTTATTCGTCGGTGAGTGTTTTTTATTTTTATTTTTTTGAAATTTTTTGGTGGGTTTTGATCTCAGATTTTGGTTATTTGTTGTTTTTTTCTTGAGGAAATATGGTTTTCTTGATTGGCAAATTTGAATAATTGTAGCATTCACAATGTTTGTTGGGATGACATTCCCCTTCTTTGGTGGTTTACTTGGGTTCTTTGGTGGATTTGCTTTGGCCCCTACAACTTACTATGTAAGTGACATTGTTCATATATATATATATGTATAGTTTAGTTATATAATTTTTTTTTTTCAGCTATATCCAACTATTTATTATTGTTTTCTTGCTCTCTCCCTCTCGCTCTCTTTGTTTTTTTTTAGCTCCCTTGCATCATATGGCTGATTGTGAGGAAACCCAAAAGGTTTAGCTTCTCCTGGTGGATAAATTGGGTAAGTGTTTGAAAAAGCACAAATTCTTATATGATATGTCATACTTTTATTTGTTTGTTGAATGATCTGACTTATGTCTTCTGTCTCCTGTAGAATATTAATGCCTAAGAAATGGTTTAAATTCTTGATTTTTTTTTTCAGATATTCATTGTTCTTGGAGTTATATTGATGATCTTAGCACCAATTGGAGGATTGAGGAACATCATCCTATCAGCCAAGACCTACAAATTCTACCAGTGATCCTTAGTTCAAGAAACAAAGGAGAAAAAAAGACATTTTGGTACATATGATGATGAAATAAATAAAGCAATTTGCCCAATGATTTTTTGGGTCTTTCTTGCTAGGTTTATCATTTGTGTGGTCCTAGATCTTTGCTATATCACAACAATGGCATTTTATTTGTATTGCAATTTGCAGGTGGTTTTAAGTTTTCACATAATTTATATGTTATTGACAATTTGAATTAGTTACAAAAGATACAACTACAAAACACACTAATCATGTCACAATAATATCCAAGCATATTGATCACAGGCATGTGCATAAAATCATCTCCAAAATGATAAGGGGCAATGCGTTACAACAACAATTGTTCAAATACATTCTTTAGACTAGTTATTTTTCATTTCATTTCCATTTTTTTTTTTCCGAAAGGACGGATCTTATATATAAAAACACATAATTACAAATAAACATTAGTCAGAATAAACCAAGTGACCATCATATCGGGCTGAATCTAGCGGAGGACTAGTGCATCCTAGAAATAGTCACACTAACTCACTCACTACACAATCAACTATACATTCTCTCAATGAGAGAATCAAACTTCAAAAGAGAAGAATCTAATAGCACACCAACAACACCCAAAAGAACACAAAAACAAAAACACAACACTAGCTAGAATAAATCCTTCTCCCAACCAGCCACAAACTGCGAAGCCACGAACACAACACCCAGAGATGACAACCCATATGGATAGGAACTCAGCCCG